TCTGAACCTTTGTGTAACTTATATCGAACTTACGAATGCATATTGACGTATTTGACATGTTCTGAAGACCACAGAACTTACTGAACGTGTTTCTAACTTATAACTTATAACTTATATCAAACGTACGAATGCATATTGACGTATGCAGATGTATTTGACATGTTCTGAAGACCACAGAACTTACTGAACGTGTTTCTAACTTATAGCTACCGTGTAATGGCATATTGGCAGCGTGTAGGGCAGGGGTCTCCAACCATTTTCCTACTGTGTGTTACTTTTTGTAAAACAAAAATACCAGAGAGCGGTCAACAGAAATTTTGTAAATATAAGAGCCATGGTGTCTATAAAACATAACCCATTATCCATTTATCACTGCACAAAATTATGCATCAAAATTATACATTTACAAAGGAAATAGGCATTTAATCACAAAAATTTGAGTTACTGAGTGAAATATGTATAATTCCTGAAATACATGGACGAGTATGGGGGTGGAGAGCTCTTGGTAGCTCCCGAGCTACATGTTGGAGACCCCTGGTGTAGGGAAATTGGTATATAAAAATGTGGAAACCGTCAGTACTCCTCCAGACTTCATGGTGAACAGACCCCATGGTACCACCCGCTACAGAGGTCATCTGAGAGATGGAGGATCCGGAGGGGCTGAGACTAGAATACATTCTAGCTGTCCTCCAACATCAGCATGATCTCATCAATTTGTCACTGTACCAGCTGCGTGCCAATAGAGCCAGGAGAAGAAGAGATCAATGGTGGAGAAGGAACTGGGTGAGACCCTGGATCGGAAGGCGACGGCAATTTGGCATGTATGATCAGCTGTCTTCGGCATGACGCTGATTAATGCTGCGACTGCGATGTCTAGTGCAGTTATGAATCGTCGTTGAGCAGAAGAATTCGTGTATCATTCATTCATTCATTTTTCAATATAAAACCAAAAGTAAGAAAACAAACAAAAAAACAATTTTCTTAATTATTTGTCTCCATAATCAGCATGAAAGAAACGGATAACGATTTGTTTTTTCAGTTTTCGATTTTGTGTTTAAATGAATCATAGAAAAAACGGACAATGGCTGTTTCCCATTTATGTGGCTTAAACTCTGACTTAAATTGCTGAAGACTTTTGTGCCACGTAAGGACTGAACTAGTCCTGATCTGGTCCCTGTCTCAGTCTTGGTCTCAGTCCTGGTCTGGTTCCGGTCTAAGTCCTGGTCTCAGTCCTGGTCTGGTCTCGGACCTGGTTTAGTCCTGTTTTAGTCCTGGTTCAGTCCTGGTTCAGTCCGTATGCGGCACAAAAGTCCAGCATTGCAGTTTTAGTCACAGAAACGGGAAACGGCCATTATCTTTTTTTTTTTTTTCCATTATTCATTTAAACACCAAATCAAAAACTGAAAAAAACTAATCGTTAGTTTTTTCATTTTGGATTTGGAGACAAAAAATGAAGAAAATTGTTGTTTTTTTCGTTTTCTTATTTTTGGTTTTATATTGAAAAACAAATGAATGAATGAAATGAAAAATGAATGACACATGGATTCATAAGTTGTGGACGCCGGCAACACGCTAAGCATTAGTTGGTATAAGTTATATATAAGTTATCAAAACGTTCTATATAACTTACAAAAACGTTATGTATATGCCCAAAATTGAAAAAAAACTTTGATAGTTCAGTGTATGCAAGCGTTTCTGCTACTTTGGCATACGCTGGCTAAATCATTAAGGCGTGACAGAGCCATGATTTAGAAACACAGTGGAGCACTTTATGTATTACCACATGACATCACAAGGTGGAACGTTTAAGAGAGGTATGTTTTAAATGAGGAAACAGCATTGTAACAGATCAGAAAATAGAGTAATATGGGCCCTTTAAGATGTGAGTGAGCCCACACAGTGTCACCTTGGTTTGAGTCCTGGCTTTTCTCTGAGCCGAGGATTTTAATGAAATATTTATCTGAGCACTTCACACCGCGCTCATGTGCAAACTGCGCTGCAACAGAATCCTGACTGGAGCACTGAGCCATGATGGAGGAGGAAACACAAAAGCTTTTAGCCAGAACAGTTGACAAAGTGGTTTCATCCAGGGAGTTTAGAAAGCTCAACATTGCGAGTCCCTGCTGAACTTGATATGACTATGATATGAACTTGGCTGTGCCTGATTTTACCGTCTTACAAAACAGAACGTGAAAAACAGAACTGGTTGATTTAAAACAGTTTACAGTCGTATGAACGCTTTTCTCATGTACCTTATGTGTTCCAGGCATCCCATATCCTGGAACTCCCTACAGAAAACGGTTATATTCCAACATCTTGTACCTCAAGCTCATTTTGACACCCTCTCGAAAGACCTGGAAAGGCAATCATTGACCTGTCACTGTTTCTACCCTTTATATTGTCTCTTATAACTGTTGTCTGCTTTATATGAAATGTTGTCTGTGGGTGGTGTTGTTGATTCCTCTTGGCCACGACTCCTCAGAGCGACATTCTTGGTTCATATAAAAATGAGTTTAAGAGGCCAGAGCAGAGTTTTGCCGTTCCAATGATAATAACAAGTAGCATGCTAACATAATACTTTCTGATTATTAGATTACAGAGCTTTAAAATTAGACCCAAGAGACATAGGTGTAGTTTGGACAATGGCAATTGTTTGAAAGTAAGTTTTTATTTCTATAGTGCTTTTCACAGACATATGTCACAAAGACGCTTTACAGAGCATTTATAGATTCATTATTTCTTTTCCTCCACACCCAGTGATGGTAAGATACTACAGTAGCCACAGCTGCCCTGGGGCATACTGACAGAAGGTCGGCTGCCATGCCAATTGGCGCCATCTGTCCCTCCGACCACCACCAACACTCACACACACACACACCACTTTCATACTAGGCAATGTGGGTGTCTTGCCTAAGGACACAACAACAGTTTTTTTTTGCAACTGGCACACACTGTGACTCCTGATTTTCCCAGTGCTCTCCCATCCAAGAACTAACCAGGCCCGGCCCTGCTGAGCTTCTGAGATCTGACGGGATCAGGCTTTGACAAGCTGGTATGGCCACATACTGGCTTTGTGATGCTTTGCTTATTCAGTTTAATCCATTATGTAGAAAAAGTTTCCTTCTCTGCAGGACATTTTTCAAAACTCTGGCTCACTCAGGCCAGACGGATTGTGAGAAACTCCTCTCACCAGTTGAATGGGGAATATGAAATTCTTCCATCAGGCAGGTGCTATCGAGGGCATCACTTTAAGAGTAACAGATATAAACTCTCATTTGTGCCCACTTCTGTTTCACTCTTGAACAAATCTGCACAACAAAGGTGCACTTAGTCACTTTATTCAATGGTGTAATAACTGTTTGTGCAGTAATTATTTGTGCAATAGGGCTACTGCAATAACTTTGACATTTTATGGTTGTGCAGTGCACAAATGGACACTGGACATCAACAATGGACACATGTATTGTATCTAGCGACTGTTGTCTAATTGTGTATGAGTGCAACTGTGTTTGTAAGATGCAGGCAGTGAGACTAAGACTAATTTTGGGGCAGTTAACTTTGTCTTAATCTTAATCTTAATGTGTATATGTATGGGTTCTACACATCGTAAACTTAAAACAGGCACCATCAAGATGATAAGACATATAAATATTATATAATTCTACTGCATTTACATCCAAAAACCATCCTTATGTATGGACATAAATAATGGGATGATGTATGTATTAGAAATGCAGTATTGCAGCATGCTACTGTATAAAATGATGGACCTTTGCACCTTGCTGAATATGTATATATGTAAAGAGAATGTATGAATGTATAACGCTGTTCATTTTGCCCCAATACATCCTAACATGAAATCTAATACCAGCACTTGTTAGAACTAATATAAGTGCAATCCCCAGTCACAGAAGTGCTTTAGATTTTTCTTCTTTGCTCTGTTCTTCTGCTTGTGGCTATCTTGCAAAGCAGAGCACAAGTCAATTAAAACAATAAGAGTTCCTGTGAATATTTGAACTGCACTGGAAACTAGAGGTAAATGTTGAAAAGTGCATGGTTATCTCGACAGGGTCTGGCTCTGATTCCAGGTTCCACCTGATTCCTGGTTCGACCAATGCTGGGTTCCTCTTGGTTCACCCCGGTGCCTGGTTCCCTGGTCCATCTTCTCACCTAATAGCAACGATTTCACTGGGTGCATGTACATGAGTAGGACAACATTTCTAATTGAGTGCACTCAAGGTTAATTTTGATTTTGGACTGGACAATCTTTTATTTTGGTTTTATTTCCTGAGATCTCAGGTTATTTTAGCCAAATGTGTCAAGATATTTTATGTTGTTGCAAATTACTGTGAATGAACAAAAAGAACTGAACTTGAACAATCATTACCAATTCTACATTTATTCATAAATCTGTTGTAGTGTAGTTTTGGGGTGGAATTTTCCAGTTTATTAACTGTTTGATCAGTTTCCAACCAACCTAGATTGAACCTAGATTTAGATAACTCTCACTTTAAACATTTAGAGCTGTTACTTATTATTAGCAGTGCTACCAGTGTACGGTTACATTTTGCATTATTGCTGCATTATGTTCTGTATCATACTCACTCATAAACAACCAAAAATATTTGTGTTAGCTCTGGCGTTGGCACAAAATAAAGGAAAGGATTCAGCCTCCTGAGACTTTCTGTGGCACATGGCGTTGCAGAGGATGTGACTCTACTGTCAGCACAAGCAGGGAGGCTAATGGAAGAGTTAAAGAGGGCAATCTCGGCAATCTGTGGAGCGCTATTCTCCTGAGCATCTGGAGAAACAGTCCCAAACTGTGAGAGACTGAGCTGGACTCATCTGCATACACCCCACTGCAGCTCCACATGATTTGACAGTTTGACAGCTTTGGGTCCAGGCTAAAGGACATGTTAGAGAGTGGAGACATGAGGCGGCAGTGCATAAGTAATATTAAGATGAAGCATCTGTGTACCCTCTCTGTACACTGTGTTCAGGGAATTGATGTTTTCACTAAAGAACTCTTCATGTGTCTTTTGATCCGACTCATTGAAAACCCTGCAGAGATGAGTGCCTCTTACCTGTTCAATGACTGCATGGCAATCTGGATCTTGATTGTTCTCTGTCCTCAGGTAAACTATGAAAAATCCTCAACTTTGAATACTTGTATATTGTTTGATGGCACTGTTTTTCAATTTGGCTACAGGCTCAAAGCTGATCACTGAACTTGTTTACCTGCTCATGAGCTTTGAATTTAATGTGCACTGAACTGAGCCAGGATTTCTGTATTATGAATTATGGTGCAGTATTATTGTGAATTAGGTTAAACATTGAATGTGGGAATTAATATTGTTGAATTAGCATACTGATACTCTGACGGGCAATATAACAGATTATTGGTCCTGCCCCATGGATGATGGATGGATCTGAGAAAGGAACCTGATCTTTAAGGTTCCTTTCCCAGATCCATCCATCATCCATCCACTGGTCCAGTTCATTCATCCATTCATCCGCCTGTTCTATCCACCCTGTTGGGCTGGCTTTATCTACAGCGGTGCAGTGGGAGGGCCAGAAGCCTGCTCCCCACACAACACCTTTCACCTTACCATAAAACACTGGTCAAACACATACTGCTCATTACTCCCTCGGACAATAAACTCTCACTGTGTGGCTACTAGAACTGAACACTCAAACCAACAGCTGTTAGCTGTTAACTGTGTACATACTTTAAATATGTATATACTGTAAATGTATAATAATAATTTGTATTGCTCTTCAGTACAAGCTCACATCCTGCACCATTTTACTGTCTTCTGTGTCACTTCCTCCCTGAGCTGAACTGTAGAACTTCTGGTAACTTCTGCCATTACCCCATTTCCTCCCTGTAGTGTAGCATATATGTGTGTGTGTGTGTGTGTGTGTTTGTACCACATATACATGCTACAATAAACACATGGATATATTAGTTTGCTTCCACATAATGTGTTTTTCTAATACAGACATTATTTAAAGCGGGGCTATTTTACTTCAATATGGTACCTACAGCATATTTACGTCACCGTGTTACCTTTTATTGTGCTCTATTGCTATTAGCTGAACACAACATTTATAACTTTATAAGTTTCTCTTTCATTTTTGACACTGAGTGCCCCTTCCCTTTGCTCACTCTGAAGGAGGAAACCCTTCACAGCACTATCAGAGCAGTGAGTGTGCTTCCCGCTACTGAAACTACTGCACATCGCATCCTGTTTGTCAAGTTGATGTGTACAGTTTTGAATCCTGCTTTTGTATAATTAATGGAGAATTGTCATGTGGGAGCATGGGTGATGAATCTTACACCTAACCATAAGGGCCAAATACCACAACATACTCAAGAGGGACAGGTACAATTATTATTATTATGCATTTTTATACTTTTTTTTTTTTTTTTTTGTATAATTCACCCTCTTTAAATCCTCAATCCTCAATACTGAATACTCTCGTGATGGTACTTCAAGACATGGTCAACAAAAAATAACAAATCACACAAACTTGAACTGCACCGGCCGCCTACGACCCAATAACATCTCACCATCACCCCACGAAGTCCAAACACATCCCACTACATTTGCATATTTTCCATTTGGACTGATAATACCCACTGTGTTCATGACTGCAGCAGAAATTAGCCTGTAGAGTTTAAAGCACGCCGACATCTCCAGACATCCACGCGCAAAATAGAAAGTCAAGGGGAGTACACTTAGCAGATTATTTGGTACGTCAAAGTCGAAACAGCTGCGCCATAAATCCTGTTTTTGTGACAGTTAAAAATGTATGAAAAGTTTTAAAGTTCATTCTTAACCTCCCTCTCAACTTTTAAGCTATTGCGCTCATTTGAAAAGTTGAAAGTCAATACTGGAGGCTGTGGAAAGAGTGTGACAGCAGGAATGGAAAGAAGGCGACAAAAGCAATGTTGGAACGGAAATTTCACTGTCATCTTCTTAGAAAAGCATATACATTTTTCTTCCTTATGTGCAATATTAATTCCACCCTCACAAAATAGCAGTCAGAAGGCTATAGTTTGAAGCCGACCTGCAGAGTAAATGAAGCTAAGTCCCTGTGACCTTTTGGCGTATGGTTGAGCTTAATTGCAGATAATGAATGAAAGTGAGTGTGAGTTATTGTCCCTAAAACGCTTCTATAAATGTCGGCCGGGTCATTGTCCAGGCCGAGCAGTGCCTGAGGCCAAAGAAGCTGTGACAGGCTTCAGCTCCTAATGATCCTCAGTGGGATCGGTGACAGAGAAGTATACGAAAAACACACACCTAAACATATTACCTGTCCACAGACGATAGTCATTAAAGAGGGGCGCTATTCAAAATCGACTTTGCGGAACATTCTGTCTTTATAATGTTGTTTTCTCATCAAAAACATGCCTGAAGTGGTTTTAGGGTGACCGGACATAGGTGACAACCCACGTTCATTTGAGTAATTTAACGATCTCTTCCTGATTCAAACCCTTCTTATGGTTTGGTGTAAGACTTGTCCAATGCTCTGCCCACGATTCTCCATAAATATCCAAAAACATGAAACAAAGCACACTATAGCTCAGGGATACTCACTGCGTGGCTCGCGAGTCACATGCAACTCGCCAAGCTTTAATTGGTGACTCGCAAGCTTATACCAAAAATAATAACACAGCCAATATATTTTTACCTGGTCCCTGAAGGGTTGACCAGGATTTGTATTCTTTGTCCACCTGCGATAATTCTGCCATTTATGGACCAATTGTCACCAAATTTGGTACATGGGTCAAGCCCCCATGCCCAATTCCGCAAAAAAAAGTTTGGTGATGATCCAAGGTCATTTGAGATCACAGGGGTCAATTGAATGGTCAGGCCATTATAAAGGATAAAGGCAATTTCGTCAATTTCTGAACCATCTGCGGCCTAAAATATTCACCCAGTCATCACACAAGTTGGCACACACATAACCGGGGTACACTGGATGTCACAGGTTAAAACTGGTCAAGGTCACATGAAGGTCAAGGTAACCAAGGTCAAATATGCGTTTTTGGTCATAACTCCGCGAAGGACTGAGCTAGAGCAACGGGAGTATATCAGAATAAGTAAACACAGAAATTCTCATATGTGACCAATATCACACAAATGTTCATGGGCCTGTACAGATAAACACATTGCATTGTGGATATAACGATCATGTAATATGGACTGGGCTCCTCATTAGCAGCTTCCATGGTGATGAACTGCCCCCACCGATGCCTCATGGGGGACCAAGTTACTATTTCTGATTGCGCTTGTTTCAAATGTGCTTGATAAACATATAGTGAACCCTGCAACACAAACATCTGCATTACACTAAGTATAAATCAAGCCTTAATTAATGGTGTTTCCTAAAGGAAGCACCGTGACACTAGCAACCAGTGATGCGCGAGTCCAAGTATAAATGACCCGTACCAGACCGAGGCTTTCAACTAACTCACCCACAACTCTGACTGCAAAAAAATTTGAAAATATTGTACCCGACCCACTGCCTGAGCTGCATTTTAAAAAAGTAGAACATGCTCTTGGTTAACATCGAAATAAAGTGACCAACATAAATCAAGTGACTAACATAAATAAAGTGAGTGAAATGACTGTTAAATAAAGAGCTGCACTAAACTTGCACTCATGTGACCTGCACATGCCTGATCTCTGAAAACATGAACCATTTCCAACGCATCACACACAGAACACACTCACCATCATCATCAACATCCCTGTAACTGAGAGAACACTCATATTCCACTGAGTCACGTCCTTTAGTACGGCAGAAGCTGACACATCAGCTCACAAAGAAAGAGCTGTTTTTTCAGCGCTTATAGTTTATGCAAATGAGTCATGTGGTTTTAAGTTTTTGTTTCTGTAAAACGTAAACAAATATGTAAAAACTGCATTAAACACATTATAATGTCAAATGAGCTGATGTGGCTCTAGAGTGGTTGTGGTTTATATGTTGTAAAGTGAGTTTATTTATGCAAATTAGTAATAGTAATTAGGGGTGTCAAATTATTGCGTTAATTGTGATTAATTAATTACAGTCATATTTAGCGCGTTATGTTTTTTAATCGTGTTAATCTCATTTTTAATCTCTAACTTTAGTGTTTCTGTATGTGAGTTGCTTTATTATAAAACCTTTTATGTGTTGTTGGGACAACAACGCACACACACACAAAAACACACATTTATAATTTTTTTTTATTTCGGTAATTCCACTCATTGCCGGAAACCCACACAAAACGCGCACAGTAAGAGCGATGTAAACGTCACGTTAGTGGCGTCAGTCGCACAATGGACGAGGTCGAAGAGCCAGTAGAACAGAGTCAGCAGCGCACAGGTAAAAACACATTCGTGTCTTGGAAATTATTCTCCCGACGTGAAATATAAAAGAAAATAACAAATATAAAATCGCCTGAAAACAACCTGCATAGGCTCATGATGTCTGCACTACTGTCCTATAGTGACCTGCCACATGAGGGGACACGCACACAAACACACACCAGGAACCTAAAACCAGGACTAACCCAGTCCAGGACTAAACCAGGTCTAAACCAGGTCTAAACCAGGACTAAACCAGGATTAAACCAGGTCTAAACCAAGACTAAACCAGAACTAAAACCAGAACTAAAACCAGAACTAAACCAGGACTAAACCAGGACTAAAACCAGAGCTAAAACCAGAACTAAAACCAGGTCTAAACCAGGTCTAAACCAGGACTAAAACCAGGACTAAAACCAGTGATCTCATATATAAAGCATTTCTCTATCAATAATATTTTTAATATGGTTAAGGAAAGACTGGACTTTTTATTGTCTTTAAGTAGACAAAAGTTATTATGTTCAGATTTCCTCGTCTTTGCTACTTTACAGCAAACAGTTTCTTATTCATGGAGACTTGGGCTCAACAACCAATTTGGAGAGATTTGTTAAACAATAAATGACTTTATAAAGTCACTTTTTTAAATCTATATTAGTCTTTTGATCTGCCACAATAATGTACTAATGAATTTAAATGAAAATACCTCAAATTGAAGCTTTTCTCAGCAATTTTTAGGTGAGATTAAAATGAGATTAATTAGATTAATTAATTATGATCTGTAATTAATTAATCTCAATTTTTTTAATCGCATGACAGCACTAATAGTAATAATAATGATGATAAAACGTTAATGATTAATCGAAAGCAGTTTTTTAATTCTCATGACAATCAATTAAGAAAATGTGCTATATAAATCTACTATCTGTGAAGAAAGTAAAGGACATGCATGCAGCTTTCCCTCATCCCAGTATTAAGGTAAATATGGTTTTAAATGAAAATGTATTGGCTGTGTTTCTTTTTTGTGGGATGTCCAGTTTATCTGTAGAAATGCACATTTGCAAAGGTGACTTGGTATGTTGGCGTATGTTGGGTATAAGTGGCTCTCCTCTTAATTTTGCTCTTCCAATGTGGCTATTGTGAAAAAATAGTGAGTATGGCTGCTATAGCTTTAAAATCTGATACGACGTGCAGTAGTTTCATTAGCAGAATGTTTGCCAATAACACGGTGATCCAGATCTGTTACGTGTTAGCAATCCATGTATTAGGGATGGGCATGATTAGTCGATTAATCGATAATTGATCATTAAGAATTTCATCGATTACGTTAATTTTAATCGACAAACCGAATGTAGGTTGCTGTGTGTAGCGTGACCAAACAGGGGTTCGTACATGTGTGTCTCTGCACTCAGAAGGAGTGAGACACAAACATTCGGTCAGCCTGCAACGTACCGAAGCACAAATGCGTATTTAACGATGATTTGTACAAGAAATTCCACGCTTTCCGTTCGGGACAAGTGAGTCCATGTGCACAGTGTATAAAGCAGCACATGTTTCGGTGTCCAGAGGGAAAAAGCTTTGCCAGGTGAGAGTCGCGCAATGTCGATGACGAGTCCCCACCTCCCTCCCCCCGTACGGTGTCCTGGTTTTGAGAAACGCAAATATGGTCACACTAATCTGTATTTCACTGAGTCATGTCTTTTAATCCAACAGAAATTGAGTGCATCAGCGACACAAGAGCTGTAGTTTTATCTTCGCTTAGTTTATGCAAATTAGCGATGCGGTTTTAAGTTTCGTTTCTGTGAGAGTTGCACAAAACTGAATTAAACACATTATAATGTCAAACGGGCTGATGTGGCTCTAGAGTCGTTACGGTTTATATGTCGTAAATTGAATTTATTTATGCAGATTAGTAGTGCAGATAGTAATAATAATGATGATACATTTTAATATAAAAACGTTAATGATTAATCGATAATCGATCGTTAATTCTTCCGACAATCGATAAAGAAAATTTAATCGAATGAACATCTCTACCGTGTATCATTTGTTTTTTTGTTTTTTTTTTGTTGTTGTTTTTTTTTTCCCTTTATTAATTTAAACACAAAATTGAAAACTGAAAAACAAATACCTGTTTTTTTCATTTTGGTTTTCGAGACAAATAATGAAGAAAATTGTTGTTTTTTTGTTTTCTTACTTTTGGTTTTATTTTGAAAAACAAATGACTGAATGATACATGGACTGTTAGCAGTTAATACCCCATAGTAACTTGCCCCCTCTTTAACAACTTCAAAATGAGAGTTTCAGTTAATAGCGTCTGTTTTAAGTCATTCAATAATGCATCTGTCTTCTGTGGAGCTTTAATAGACATTCAAGTTACATTTACTGGTAATGGTCCATGCAGCTCTAAGAACGTTAATGTCCAAGACTGAATCTTGGTGAAGTATTAAAGAAATGTGTATTCTGGATCCCAGGCAAACATTTTGTGGTACTGTTATTATGTCTGCAGTGTTTTATCTGTTTGTGTTGTGACAGTTGTTGTCGGTCATTGCCTCCTTTATGTAGTACAGTCACAGGGCAGCTCAGTGGTTTGAAGCCTGCACCAAGGAAACCAAAGCTAACATGGCGACGCTGACAGACGTATTTCAGCCATATTTTAGCAAAAATATGGACTATTTTGTTTGTGCAAACCATGCAGAGGGGAGCGTGCTGTGCATTTGTGGATGGGTAAGACGCCTGTGCTTTTCTTTCAACTGGATTAAACTAAAGTCTGATTTTTTGGCTTGTTCTGCTGTTGTGAAGCTTCGACCAATCAACGTGATGCATTGTTTGAATGCTCTGATCATTAGTTCTGAACGCTTTCGGCAAGAGCCATCCCAGATAAACATGTGGAACTCTATTCA